TTAAGATGGTAGTTTTTTTATATTTTGTCTTATTTGCATTGAAGAAACACATTTATTTTTATTTTAAAAATAGGTTGAGGAGCCAGATAAAACAAGATCCCATATTAGATTTGAAAACCTTGTTTAATAATCACTGACTTAAATTCCAAATAAAATAGAAGCATTAGTAATTATATCACTGTCGCCTCTTGAGTCGTTTAGATTTGTTTTTCTTTTTTTTTAAAGATTTTATTTATTTATTTGAGAGGGAGAGAGCATGAAAGGGGGGAGGGTCGGAGGGAGAAGCAGACTCCCTGCTGAGCAGGGAGCCCGATGCGGGACTCGATCCAGGGACTCCAGGATCATGACCTGAGCCGAAGGCAGTCGCTTAACCAACTGAGCCACCCAGGCGCCCTGTTTTTCTTTTTTGAACATACTTTTCAACTGCTAGAAAATACCATGTAAATTCTAACTAATATCTTAGAACATTTAAATGCCAGAGTAATCATTCAGATTTTGGTATGATTACAAATTAGCATTTATAAAGCTAAATTGAATAATACCACTCTCTGCTTTCATCATTTTCTCCTAACCACTCTTCCATTGTATGACATAATTCTTTGACTCTTTATAATTCTGATAGTCTTTCCATCTTTACTTTAAAAGCCAAATCAGGGGCACCTGGGTGGTGCATTCGGTTGAGCAACTGACTTTCGGTCTCGACCCAGGTCATGATCTCATAGTCGTGAGATGGAGCCCCACGTTGGGCTCCATGCTCAGCGTGGTGTCTGTTTGAGATTCTCTCTCTCTCCCTCTGGCCCTCCCCCAACTTGTGCTCACTCTGTATCTCGAATGAATAAATTTTAAAAAATAAATAAAGCCATATCATATTATTTTGCTTTCCATATTTATTTTGCCTTCTATTTTCTGGTAAATTGTAATGCAATAGTTGAGGAAAAAAAACAGAAAAGAAAGAAATGACTGCATCAGCAAGAGCAGTAATAAGCTTGAAAACATTCTGTAAAATACGCAACATGCGCAATTTTTACACCTTGTGCAAATGCCAAGCTGGCCTGGTTGATGTCCCTTGGATTTTCTAGGAAATCACTGGTCAAGATCAGTGGTTTTTCAAATCTTTTTTAAGCCATAGAACTCTTTCTTCATAGTAAGTCTAATATGGGACCTCAGTGTGTTAAAATGAGGGATGCTGTGTTTGCAAGCACAGAGGTGGAGGTAGGATAAGGATGTGTCTTTGATAGGGTAGAGCCTTAGCTCAGCCCCCTGCTCCTTCCTTCCCTTTTCCTCTTCTTTAACATCTTTTGAGGCACAACCTCCTTTCCTAAGGTATCTTGGGAGTACAGTTTGAAAATCACAGATAGCATTCTGAATTTTTCTTCACTGATGAGCCATTTTAGAGATTAAATATTTGGTACATTTCTGTATCCTAAATCCCCAAGGTTCTAAATTCCTAAATCCATGTAGAAATGAGTGACTCAGGAGAATTGTTAGCAGAACCTTCACTGAGAATTTTTGTTTTGTTTAATATAGGTATTGTTCAGATTTAAATTTAAAACAAACAAAATAAACTAATGCACCTTTTCCTGAGGTTAGTGATATAATATTTAGGGCCTAGACTGCTGGTTCTGTGGCTTATAGTTGAGAAGAGAGTTGAATGGAACCTTAAAGAGGAAACATCACTTATTTTGCAAGCCCTACAAGTTATTTATAAGCTATTGGGAAGAAACTGCTAATCATTTAACATGTGATTGAAGTTTTGAAATAGGAAAGTACACAGATATTTGGAATAATAGGATAGCCATTCAGATAAGAAAATTTATTGGGTGCTTACTGACATTTATAGAGTAGACAACTGTTCCAGATGGTGTACTAAGTATGTTTCTGGTGTGTTTCTTATTTAATCCCCACAATCCTATACCTGTATTACCACATTTAAAATTGATGAGAGTAGGGTGCCTGGCTGGCTCAGTCAGTAGAGCATGTGACTCGATCCTCGGGGTCGTGAATTCGAGCCCCATGTTGGGCATAGAGATTACTTAAAAAAAAAAAAAAAGAAAGAAAAAGAAAAATTGGAGTCTTGGGTTAAATAACATGCTGAGAGTTATGGTAAATAGTGGACCCAGAGTTTGATTCTTAGTCTCAATCTGTGCTTCTTCAGAGACCCATGGTACTTGCTTTTTAGGAAATTACGGTTCTTTTGGGATGAAAGAACAAGTCTAAAATAATCTGAGGTGAGAGTAAGGAATGAGGTGGTAATATTAGGACATGGGTGAAAAAAGATTAGGGTTTATAGGAAGGGACAGAATATGGTGTGTTCATAATGGAAGCATTTACTTTATAGGTGAATTTAGTTATATCTCGGTTTTCCTTTTTTGTTTTATATTTTGTTCAACTTTTCATTTTTTTATTACCTATTTCCAACTTCTTTACCTGCACTAGTCATACATTATAGTCTTAAAATTAGTTTTAGTCTTGTCATCTTTTTCCTTACCCCCTCTTTCCTCAAATTCTTCTCTGGTTTAAAGGAGGTAAACCTGTTGGCCTTTTTGTTGTTGTTTTTTTTAACTGTAATAATTATGCATTTGGGTTTTTCTCATTCATTGTTTTTAACAAAATGACATTTCCCTCAAAGGACTTCCCCATTCCATTAAATTTAAAATTTAGGTAGGGAAATTTTGCCTCAAAGTTTTTACTTAAGTAATCTATAGGTCTTAAAAAAAAAAAAAAAAGACCTTAAGTATCTTCAAATATATATTCAGTGAAGTGTTTAATGAATGTTATTCCAAATAAGTTTGAGAATTTCTTCATACACTGTAACTTTCCATCCCATTCCCCTTTCGGAGATAGCCAGTGACTGTTATCATTTAGAAGCTTTGTGGTAAATAAATCTAACTTTGCTCACCCCAGTTGAACCATCCTGCTGTCCTCTGCATTTAAAGTGTAGCCTCTCAACCAAACTGATCCACTATTCCTTGGAATATATTTTAGAAAATGATACAGAACCATTTAGATAGAAAATGTTTCCAGTATAACTTTCAGAATTGTGTTATTTTATGTGATTTTTTGTTCTTGTTGTTTATTCAAAAGTAGCTGGTCAAGATTTAAGATGGAATTCAGATGGGATCCTGCCATGCTTAAAAATTAATACATTAAACTGTTGTGAAAAACCATATTTTCTTGATCTTAAATTACATTTTTTTTAACACAGAATAGGGAAGGATGTGAATAAATATTATTTGGGAATCCTCTTTTAAGATAGATTTTAAGGTTCTTTATAAAAATGTTAGCTTAGAATTTTTAATTTGGTGTTATTTTTATTTTGAGGGAAAAAAAAAAGATTGGTTATTATTTGTCTGAGTCTGATAACTAATGACCTATTTACCCTAAATTGCTGGTACATCAGTCTACCTCCTGAGTAGATCGCCAGTTAGGGTGGATTTCTTTAAGATCTCTGGTTTGTGTTGTGAAAACATGTAGGCAGTTTGTTGGACATAATGAATTTTATTTACAAACTTGATAAAATTTTGAAATGTTTTTGTATTGTTGATTCATTCAGTTCTTGATATAGGGCATGTATAGCATTTAGAGCCTTGGGAATACAGAATTGAATTTGATTTAAATCCTGGTTACCTTGAATAAGTTACTTAACATTAATGTATTTATCAAGTGATAACTGTATGCTAGGCATGAGGAAATGGGAGGGTAAGATGGGGAGATATAGAACTCCTGTTGTTAAAGAATTCAGACACTAGAACATTCACTTCATCCTCTCTGAATCTGTTATCATGTTGACAAAATGGGGGTGAGAGAACTTAAAATCCCCATGATAATACTAAAGAGGAATCATAGATGCTTAACACAAGTTAGGTTATGTGTTGTCATTTGTACTGTTTAATCATAGACTACTCAGAGACAACGAAATATGGATTATTTCCCTTTCTTGCTTGGGGACTGCATTGCCTTTAGAGATTTAAGTTGTATCATTCATTCAAACATTCTTTGTTCTGGCACCAGACATACTTGCCAAGCTTCTAGAATTTGAGGGCCGTGTGCCATTGCATTGTGCTTTTTGCTCTTAGTTTTAATTTTTAACTAAGCACAACAGCTTGTCAGACTCCACAAAAATTACTTGCTTTTTAGCCTGATGAAAATGCTTATTTGAAAAGAAGCAATCATCTAGGGTTGGGAATCTGCAGACTTAGGTAAAGGACCAGATGTTTTAGGCTTTGTGGACCATATAGTCTCTCTGGGAACTAACTCTGCTGTCATAGTGTGAAAGCAACCATAGTCAGTACATAAATGAACGAGTGTGGCTGTGTTCCAATAAAACTTTATTTATGGACACTGAAATTTGAATTTCTTAAAATTTTCATATCACAATATTGTTTTAATTATTAAATTTTTCAGTTCTTTAAAAATGTAAAAGTCATGCCTAGATAATGGGCCTTACAGAAACAGGTGGCTAGCCAGATTTGGCCATTGGGCTGTAGTTTGCTGCCCCCTGATTTAGAGCATAATCTATGACTTTGCTCTAATTGTTAGATAATAATCGTAGGGATTGTATATATATATTGGGGTTTGAGTTCTGCTCTTTTCTTTTTCATCCAAGTTTACTTTTATAAACTAAGTGTGTATGAATAATAGAAAACTAATAGGAAAAACATAGGGGTTTTTTTTTTCTTTACTTGTTTTTATTGTGTTTTGCCCAATCCAGTGAAGGGTGCTTTAAAAGGCTGCTTACTCTCAGATTTTTCATCCATCTCAAGTCAAATTCTATAAATGTGAATTTCAAGTAATGTGTACAAGGACTTCTATACTTTAAAATTTACATAGGAAATTTTATCTTTTAAATAAATTGTATATAGGTAACTATACATTTACATCGCATGAGCACTAACAAACAAAATAGTTTTTGTTTTGAAATAAAAATAATTTTTATACTAACTGTAATAATTGTGTATGTAAAACTGTAACTTTAAATTCTGTTAACTTGCTTTCTGTAGACACCAGAGAAGAAACAATCGGAATCATCCAGAGGAAGAAAGAGAAAAGCAGAAAACCAGAATGAAAGTAGTCAGGGTAAGTGAAGCAAAATCCTTCAGAGCCAAATAAGTATTTACAATTAATCTGATTGTTGGTCAATTAATATAGCTTAACTGTAAAAGTCATATTATGTTTTTATCATTTCTATAGCTATTATAAATTTATGCATTAATAATAGTTTATAAATGTACTTCCCAGAAGAAAGAATAATATGAAATTGAAATCTTTTGTACCACAGGTAGTGTATGGTTACTGTTTTTAGGCTTTTTGACATTTCCCGTTTTTTTTTTTACTTGAGAATTAGAAAGGCAAGTGTCCTGTCCAAACCTGGCAAACATTACCTTATCACCTTTCATTTTTCTTTCTTTATCTGAATTACAGTATTGAAATGGCTTCTTGTCTTTGAATAAGAACTTTAGATGTCACTTTAAAGTGCAAGTACCAAAAGCTTGCTTATTCCTTTTATTTAAAAAAGAAAAAGACTGTATAAAAATGATTGAGTTGCTTATTAAAGCATCATCTTTTTCTTTCCATACCTGTTCTTCATTCTTTCTTACATACCTGCCCTTTGTGATATAGGCTAAGAAGATGATTTTCAAGTCATCTACAAAACTCTTATAACGGACAACAAAATAGTATTGTCATTTAATTTGGCCACTCAAAATTAAATACAATAAATTGGCTCTTAAGTCATATATAATGACTTTATACATATGATTACATGTTTTGGAGCTGCTCTTTAGCTGTAAGGACTGGGGCCAGGAACCCATGGCTTACTAGTACTTACATGTGGCACGGGCATCAAGGAATGTATTCGCAGCAACTGTCTGCGTGGAAGGAAGAATTTAAGTCACTCTAGCATCTTTCTATAGATGTGTAGTACTTGTATCTCCGTCTGCTCAGAGCTCAATTTTGGTCTTAGTGTAGTTCTAGCAGGTTGTGGTTAGTGGACTTGGAGCTTTATTTAGTGTAAAGTTATATTAGTTATGATAGTTTCAACTTTAGATTTAAAAACTCACTTAAAAGCAGTCCCAAATTGGGACTTCTGGGTTGGTTGATTCAACCTATGTTTTTAAGAATCCATGTTTATTTCTTTGTGGTCTGCTCTCCACAAGAATTGTCTGATTTTCTTATGTTTTTAGAATGGTTGTCAATTTTGATTGGATTTACTTGAGCTTTCACACTTCTATTTGCTTTAGAGAGAGGTTGGCTTTCTGTGTTTTTTCCCCCTCTTTCTTTGAAGGTAAGCTTCTTCAAGTCCAGAGCAAACCTCTCCGGTAATCTTGTCGGCCAGAATTGGGTCATGAGTCCATTCATTCCTTAGCCAGTTATGTCCAACATACGTCCTATTGCCCTTAGAAAAACCAGATCCATCTCTGAAATTGAAAGTGGGTAAAGTTCCTTTTAGAAATGTGGGCTTTGTGGAGAAGGGATGATTGATACCTGAACAAAATTGGATTTCTGATCAGGAGGGGAGGGGAACTAGGATGGAGGCCAGATAGGAGTTAGCTTCCCCTGATATTACATGTGTTATGTAGGGGGAGGGAATTAACAGAGCCAAGTTTGGGTTCAGTTAGGGAAAAAGAATTAGGGACATAGCTTCTGGATAGGCAACCCAAACCATCTCTGTCGTCTTTAAAGAATAGCACCTTCTTGGGCGCCTGGGTGGCTCAGATGGTTGGGCATCTGCCTTCTGCTCAGGTCATGATCCCGGGGTCCTGGGATCGAGTCCCGCATCGGGCTCCCTGCTAGGCGGGAAGCCTGCTTCTCTCTCTGCCTCTGCCTCTCTCTCTCTCTCTCTCTCTGACTCTCATGAATAAATAAATAAAGAATAGCACCTTCTTCAGAATCTGCAGGAAAGCTCTTATAGGTGGAAGGAAAATTCCTTGGGTATACAGGCATACCTTCGGGATACTGCAGGTTTGGTTCCAGACCATCACAATAAAGCAAGTATCACCGTAAACGAGTCAAATGAATTTCTTGGTTTTCCAGTGTATATAAAAGTATGTTTATACTGTAGTCTTTTGTGTGCTAGTAGCATTGTATCTAAAAAACATCATATATTAATTTACTTAAAAATGCTGTCACCTGAGCTTTCAGTGAGTTGTAATCACTGATAACAAATTCCCATAACAAATACATATAATAATGAAAAAGTTTGAAATATTGTGAGAATTACTAAAATGTGACACAGAGACATGACGTGAACAAATGGTGGCTATTGGAAAAATGATGCCTGTAGACTTGCTCAATGCAAGGTCCTTCAATTTGTGTTTTAAAAAACCCCAAAACCACAGTGTCGGTGAAATTCAGTGAAACAAGGTATACCTGTAAAACCTTTACAATTCTTTCTGACCTCTAAGTAAATCTGTACAAAACTGTTGTTCAAACTTTCTAGGTACCATTTATAGTCCTGGGCACTTACTTAATTTTTCTTGTTCCACAAAAGAATTTAAGGTTGTTGAACTTTTAAATGTAACCTTTGTTCATTTCAGTAATGCCTGGCACATAGTAACCACTCAAATATTCATTGAATAAATAAATATAAGTCAGTATTGATAAATGTGTATGTTTGTATTATCCAAAGCTTTTGATTTCATGGTGTATTGTCAGTTTTTCTTTGTATTGAAGAAATCATGTATTTTATATAGTTCCACTGAAGGTTGGGTGCCTCTCATCCAAAAAAGTATTTCTAACACTGTATTTCTTAGCACCTTCTTAATTCAATATTTATAAAAGTGATGAGTCCGTTTTAGAGCAAAACTTTTAATTAAAGAACTGCGATATATAATGATTTGGACCCACTGTATCAATATGGTCATATAAGAGCAATATTTAAAATCTAGTCTATTAAAAAAATCCTATTAATTTGGGAATACTTTTTAGAAAATCAAAACATTTTACAAAATAACATTCATGTTAAAGCATGTTATTGTCAGTTTGTATGGTTTTGTGTTAATCAAAGCTTTTTTATTTATGGGTATGAATTGGTTTGTCAGTTATGCAGTTGCCACTTTTTTTATTCATTGATTTGCTTTTATGAAATTATAGCCATTAAGCAATATGAATAATGTAGTTGTAAAAACAAGATCCTTTAATGTCATTTATTTATTTGATTCTCCAGTAATTGGAACTTTAACAATTGACATGTTACTATTGAAATGTCATCTGATTTTTGGATTTCTGAAATTGGCATCTTACCCTCTGAGGGCTCTTAATGTAACTTTTTCAGTGTCCCTCACTAACCAACTAAAATACCATGTTCTTTTTATTAAACAGATGATTTTTATGTGTATTAGGGAAATTAAGTTTGACACATTCTTTTTCTGATATAGTATATGATAAGTAGTCATGACTAACTTTAAATCTGTAAAAAATTTTTACTTTTATATTTTAGGAAAAAGTATTGGGGGACGTGGCCACAAAATTAGTGACTATTTTGAAGTAAGTTTATTAACAAATATCTTCAGTTCTTAATATAATTTTACTATGGGTTGAAATAATTTCTTTGAAGCACAAGGTCAACTTTTGATTACTTGATTAGAGCAGTAATGTTCTGTCTTCCTAGGAACTTTAAAATTTACTTTTACATTGGAATGTCACATCGTCATTTTCAAAGTACTTTTTCACATATTTGCTTATGACAACCCAGGAGATAGGTACAGTAGGTATTAATGTTTCTATATTACATGAGAAAACTGAGGACCAGAGATGTAAAGTTGCCTATTTAAAGTCAAATTCTAAATGGAAGAGCAAAGAGGGGCACCCAGGTGGCACAGTTGGATGAGCATCTGACTTGGTTTCAGCTCAGGTCGTGATCTCAGGGTTGTGAGTTCCTGCCCGACGTAGGGCTCCCCACTCAGCATGGAGTCGGCTTAAGATTCTCTTCTTCTCCCTCTGTCCCTCTCTTCTGCGTGCGTGTGTGCACGTATGCTCCCTCATTCTCTCAAATAGATAAATCTTAAAAAAAAAAAAAGGAAGAGCAAAAAGAGAAGTTGAAGTCTAATAGCTTCTAGTTTAGAACTGTTCCTACTGTCATTGCAGCCTTGAGGATAGCACCACGGCAACATTTGAGCCCTATAGATGGAAATTAAATAATGATAGAAGTGTGAACCTAAGAGCCCCTGAAAATAATAAATAGTGGTAAATTTAGATTCTTACCCTGTCTAGAATATTTTCTTACTTCTACACATAAATACTTTTGGCTATCAGTTTCATATTATGGAACGTTAATATGATTGTTAAAACAACAAACATGATCTACTCAGTTGAAAAATATATTACTTGAGTGTGAGAGCAGAATTTGCCAGTCAGGGGAAGGGCTGCATTAAAAATTTTTTTTTTTTTTACCATCCATTGTTTTTCTTAAATGGGTTTACAGAATCTACGCTAAAACTGTTGCTGACCATGGTCTAGTATTGCTGACCTAGGGCCTCTTTAGTTGAGGTCAGTCCCTCAGTGTTAGTTAACAATCTTTGCCAAAGGTTGGATCAATTCAGATAAATAAATCTCAAGTCTCTTGAATGCTGTTCATGTGCCATGAGTTCTGCTAGGCACTGTAGATTAAAAAAAAATTAGACAAAGTCCCTAGGTTACAGGAAAATACACTAGGAGGTCCTCATCTCTTCTCTTAATACCCTGAGAGAAAGCCAGTAGCAGTGAATTGTTTTCTCCTCCTTTTGTTGGTAGAGAAACATGAGAAATTTGAGAGGTAGCTATGGAATACGTTCGGTGGCTTCTCTTCATATGCACCTATGTCATGCACTGTAATGCATGTTGTGCATAAAAGAAAGATTGATTTTTATAAGATTTTGTGCTGTTAAAGGGAAGGGACTTGATCTATGTAATTTTTTATATAGTACTTACAAACATTTGGATTTTTAACAGATCTTGAGAATGATGATTCTGTTTTAAGATGGTTTATTACATTCACTTATATCTACTTGTAAATATGTTAATTTAGGGGCATTAGGGATTATACTGCTTCAACATTTATTTTTCTTTTTTAAGATTTTATTTATTTGACAGAGAGACACAGTGAGAGAGGGAACACAAGCAGGAGGAGTGGGAGTGGGAGAAGCAGGCTTCCCGCTGAGCAGGGAGCCCAATGCGGGGCTCAATCCCAGGACCCTGGGATCATGACCTGAGCCGAAGGCAGATGCTTAACGACTGAGCCACCCAGGCACCCCTTCAACAAACATTTATAACAGAACTGTATTAAAATTTGAAGGAAATATATGTTCATTGTTTGGGGGAAATTAATTTATCTTGAGTCTGCCACAATAACAAATTATAGTCAGAATGTTCAAGAAATAAGGGTCTTTACTAAACAGTCTTTTCACATTCTTGTGATCAGTATTCTCTCTTTAGTCTTTTAGGACTCAGCTGTAACTGACCATAGTTTTGCTTTTTCTTGACCCATTTAAATCACTACCGAATTTAATTTAAAAGAAGATATATTTAAATTAATTCTTAATGTCATGTCAAAAATAACATCTAGCTAAAACTCTTCTAATAAAGAGTGATGTTTCCTTTTTTTTTCTCAGTACCAAGGTGGGAATGGCTCAAGTCCAGTAAGAGGCATACCTCCTGCGATCCGTTCTCCTCAAAATTCACATTCACATTCCACTCCTTCTTCATCTGTAAGTTTTTACATGTGTAGATAATCTTCTGTCTGCTGAACCTATGTATATATGTATACAGATTAACTTTTCATTGAAAACTTCTACATATATTTATTTGTATTTATCTTTTTAGAAAATCATTCTCTGAGGTAAGTTAAATTCTTTTTATTTTTTATTTTTATTTTTTTTTTTAAGATTTTATTTATTTATGAGAGAGGGAGAATGAGAGAGAGAGAGAGCACATGAGAGGGGGAAGGGTCACAGGGAGAAGCAGATTCCCTGCTGAGCAGTCCCAAGCATCCAGGGACTCCAGGATCATGACCTGAGCCGAAGGCAGTCACTTAACCAACTGAGCCACCCAGGTGCCCAGTTAAATTCTTTTTAATGATCTGATGCTGTTAGAACTTTATTTCTTCAAGTGAGATCCTTAAGTTAAAGATTTCCTGAATTAATTATATCCAAGAAGTGAAGTTTCTATAAAAGAATGATGTCGAGCCTATGGGACTAAAACGAATACTCTTGTATCAGTCCATATTCAATTACTGATTTCTAATTTCTAACTCTCCTTAAGAGAAAGGTAGGCACCCTTTATCCCTGGATCATTTTAGTTCAACATAGGAGAAGGATCTTGGGTCTAAAAATTATCTTACAACTTTTTGGTTTGTTGCTAGTGTTTTAAGATCTAGTTCTATTTATATGCATTGTTTTGCTTATTGGATTTCATTTTTTCTTTACTTTTATTATATGAAAATTTAATGTCTAACCAGAAAAGCAGCATTGGCTTTCAGTAATTTAAAAATGAATTAAAGATTTTTTAAAATCAGAGTATCTCTTATTTTTTTCAAGTACCCTGTTTTTACTTCCAGTGTCCTCTTCTATGCCTTGCCTGTAGACACACACTTAGTTGTGTCTTACTCCTTTTGTACCTTGGCTACATCATATTGCCATATGCAAAATAAAGTGTCAGACTCAACAATAATTTTGAGTTAAAGTGATGGCATTGATACAGTGATATAGTCTGTTTTCAATGATGTGTTTTAAAACTAGTAACTAGATAAACCATGAAACTCATCAGTAAATTGATATTATACCCTATATGGATGTGCATTATTGTCCTTGGTACTAAGAGTTCTATATTAGGATCTTTTCGGTTTTACTTTTTGAACCATCATCATCTGTTTTTAATATTTTTGTTTTGAAATACTGTATTTCGCCTTGTTATATTTAACAGATTGAAAGCATTAAAAAAATTTTTTATGGTTCTAGAATGAAATCTTCTTGAGGGCAGGGAATATATGGTTGTTTTTTCCACTGTGCCTTATGTAAGGGAGGGTACTCTAAAAATGAGTGCTTCTTGAATAAAATGATGATTAAAAGTTGTGAAAAATCAATTATGTTTTAATTCAGTTGTTATCCTGATAAAAACTTAAAAAGTGTTAAGTAGTTGTTGCTGAGCAAAAGCCTATCTTTTTCTTGCTAATGTAAAAATTTTAATCTTTTTCTAAGGTTCGACCGAATAGCCCTTCTCCTACTGCATTAGCTTTTGGGGACCACCCTATTATACAACCAAAGCAGTTATCCTTTAAAATTACTCAGGTAAATAGTGAATAAAATTTTTTGTATGATTTGTAAGAAACTTAGTACAAATAACTAAGATGTCTTCTCTTTGTTTTAGACACAGTCATAAAGTAAAATTATACATCAGGAAAGCGAATTACTAAACAAAAAAACAATTTGTAGGGGGTAAGGAATTGAAACACCCAGTTTACTATCAGCTTATCCTTTGTTACATGCAGATTAAATATGCAGATGTTATAAGGATATTAAATAAACAGAACAAGCATGACATGTCAGTTTTTGTTTACTGCTTCTTTTTGAACATACCATCCAAATACATATAATCAGTGTTTTCCTGAAGCTATTATATTTGTCATAAGTGAACATTAAAGTAGGTCATTTTGGATGTCTATGTATATTCATATATGCTATACACTTACAGATATCATTTGAAAATTAGATATCTTTTATGCTTATTTGATTTTATGAATTTTGAGTACTAAGTTTTTCATTTTAACTTTTTACATGTGACAGTTTTTGGATTTTACTATATTAGACCACGGGGATTGGAAGAGTAGATCTTTTGCTTAGCCACCTTTATTACTCCAGTTTATTGCCATTAGACTTTTCTGTTAGGTCATGTCCAAGCTGTTGTACATGCATCAACACTTCTTTGGATGATCTTTAGGCTAGGATTACAAGTACATTGCTTTCAGTCAATGAATAGCTCATGAAAGTTTTTGCCATGTTCAAAAATCAACCAGAGGTGATAGCACAAAGCAGTGGTTGTATTGAATTTTAATGAAGAACATAACAATATTCTAAAACTTTTAGTAATCAGTTTTTTAAACGTTTCTTTGTAAGCTTATAGAACTTATATTTCTGAAGATGTTAAAACTTTAAAACTGTGCTAAGACTTTTTGGGATAACTTTTATATACACAAACTCAAATATTTTCTTTGTTTTTAGAAGCACTAAAATCTAGTTTTATATTTGCATGCAATGATATGTATAATGGAGATAATAAAATCGCTTTCTTTCATTTAGACTGATCTCACAATGCTGAAATTAGCAGCATTAGAAAGTAATAAAAACCAGGACCTGGAAAAGAAGGAAGGTCGTATAGATGACTTGCTCAGGGTAAGTAGTCTTGGAGGGTAATAAGGATAATAAATCATGGAGGGGGAGAAAATTGAGTAAATTATTTGGCAGTAATAAAACTTGAGGAAATACTTAGCATTGTAAAATATTCTTTAGCTGGGGAAAAAAATAAGCTTTTTCTGGTAGTTTTAAGTATGTGAAAATCACTATTTTAAAGTGAAAATTATTAGCTCTTTAAATGTGAATTGAGAGGGGCATCTGGGTGGTGCAGTCGGTTAAGTGTCCAACTCTTGGTTTCAGCTCAGGTCTTGATCTCAGAGTCATGGGGTTAAGCCCCAAGATGGGCTCATAGTGGAGTCTGCTTGAGCTTCTTTCTCTCTCCCCCTCTGCTCCTGACACTCATGCTCTTTCTAAAATATATAAAAAAATATATAAAAAAAAATATAAAAATAAATAAATAAATAACTGTAAACTGAGAAACAGTTGGAGAAATACAGGGAAGTTTGTAATTTTATTTTTATTTGATCAGCTATCATAAGACCGATGGCCATTTCATGTTAGTTTTAAAGGTAATTGATTTTGTTATAAACCTGACATTTGATATTATACAAGATGAAGTAACTACTGCAATCCTGTGAGATTTTTAATGGAAACTTTATAAAAGGACATATCAAAAAATACTTACAATGTGAGTAAGGTAAGAAGCAGTGGTTCTCACCCCTTGCTGCTCAGTAGAATCACCAAATGGGAAGGATGGGAGGCACTTTATAAAGGTACCCATGCCTAAACTCCATCCTGAGGGGTTCTGATTAAATTGATGTGATGTGGGCTTGGACATTGGTAGTTTTAAAGCTCCTCCAAAAAACAAAAACCAAAACAAAGCTTCTCCGGATGATTATAATTTAAGCCAGCATTGAGAACTATTGGTATAGAAACTTAATAAAACCAATGTCTTATCTATGATCCTACCACAATTACTGACACCTTTGAAACATCCAGCTTGCCTTTTCTGATCCCATCCCAGTCACTCACATTCTTTTACCATTAACTACTGTTCTAAGTTCTGTATTTATTATGCCTTATTATTATGGTTTTATCACATGTATCTATACATTCTTAACATATTTCGGTTTGTTTATTTTTTAAAATTTTACTTATTTATTTGAGAGAGAAAGTGAGAGAGAGAGAGAGAGTGCACAAGCCAGGGGAGGGTCAGAGAAGCAGACTCCCCGCTGAGCAGGGAGCCCGACATGGGACTTGATCCCAGAACTCTGGGATCATGACCTGAGCTGAAGGCAGACGTTTAACCAACTGAGCCACCCAGGCGCCCTTCAGTTTATTTTTGAACTTTACATAAAATTACGCTGTCTGTACCCTTTTGCTCTGCTTGTTTTCACTAAACATTATATGTGGAATTGTCATGCACTTTGTTCATTTCATGCTATATATATAGTAAGGCATTATATGAATATACCATAATTTATTTTTTCTGCTCTTGGTGGACATTTTATTTCTACTTTTTGCTAATACGAACAGTTCTGCTAAGAGCATTATTGTACATGTCTTCTAGGGCAAATGTGGGAAAATTCATTGTAACATTATATGCTTTAAGAGAGACGTGGCCAGAGTACATGGCATGCACATGTTCAATTTTGCTTTATAATGCCAAATTTTCCCCAAAGCGGTTGGATTAATTTACACTCCTATCAGCAATGGGCAATAAATAATCTTGTTGCTTATTATCTTTGCTAAGGCTTTGTGTAATCAGATATAATAAATTTCTTGGCCAATTTGGTGGATGTAACAGTGTCTTTTATCTTTTATTATGTGTTCTCTATTTTCTAGCATCTTTTAAAATATATATTAACTGTGTTTCTTCTGAGAAATAACCAGTCATGTTTTTTACTCATTTTTCTTAATGGGTTACTGTTTGTTTGTGTGTGGTTTTTTTTTTTTTAACTTTTAAATCATTTTTTATTTAAATTCAGTTAATTAGCATATAATGTATTAATTGCTTTCAAAGGTATAGGCCTGTGATTCCTCAGTCTTATCTAATATCTAGTGCTCATTACATCACATGCCCTCCTTAATGTCTGTCATCCAGTTACCCCATCCCTCCACCCCCTTCCCCTCCAGCAACCCTCGCTTGTTTCCTATGATTAAGAGTCTCTTATGGTTTGTCTCCCTCTCTGGTTTCGTCTTGTTTCATTTTTTCCTCTCTTCCCCTATGATCCTCTGCCTTGTTCTTAAATTCCACATATCAGTGAGATCATATGATAATTCTCTTTCTCTGATTGACTTATTTTGCTTAGCATAATACCCTCTAGTTCCATCCATATCATTGCAAATGGCAAGATTTCAATTTTTTGATGGCTGCGTAATATTCTATTGTATATATATATATACCACATCTTCTTTATTCATCTGTCGATAAATATCTGGGCTCTTTCCATAGTTTGGCTGTGGTAGACATTGCTGCTATAGACATTGGGGTGCAGGTATCCCTTCGGATCGCTTCATTTATGTCTTTGGGGTAAATATCCAGTAGTGCAATTGCTGGGTTGTAGGGTAGCTCTGTTTTCAACTTTTGGAGAAACCTCCATACTGTTTTCCAGAGTGGCTGCACCAATTTGCATTCCCACCAACAGTGTAGGAGGGCTCCCCTTTCTCCGTATCCTCGCCAACATCTATTATTTCCTGCCTTGTTAATTTTAGCCATTCTGACCAGTGTGAGGTAGTATTACATTGTGGTTTTGATTTGTATTTCCCTGATGCTGAGTGATGTTGAGCGTTTTTTCATGTGTCTGTTGGCCATTTGGATATCTTCTTTGGAGAAATGTCTGTTCCTGTCTTCTGCCCATTTCTTGATTGGATTATTTGTTCTCTGGGTTGAGTTTGATAAGTTCTCTATAGATTTTGGATACTAGCCCTTTATCTGATAAGACATTTGCACATATCTTCTCCCATTCTGTAGGTTGTCATTTGTTTCCTGTGCTGTGCAAAAGCTTTTTATCTTGAAGTCCCAGTAGTTCATTTTTGCCTTTGCTTCCCTTGCCTTTGGAGATGTGTCTAGCAAGAAGTCGTGGCCGAGGTGGAAGAGGTTGCTGCCTGTGTTCTCCTCTAGGATTTTGATGGATTCCTGTCTCACATTTAGGTCTTTCATCCATTTTGAGTCTACTTTTGTATATGGTGTAAGAAAATGGTCCAGTTTCATTCTTCTGCATGTGGCTGTCCAATTTTCCCAACACCATTTGTTGAGGAAGACTGTCTCACACATGCAGTTTGTTGGGCTTTTGTTTGAATTGCACCTAATGAAGTGGGTTCATTCTTGCTAAATTCCATCTATGTTCTTCTGAGAGTCTCTTTATTTTACCCTTTTCCTTGAAAAACATTTTGATTAGGTATATAATTTAAATTGGCAGGTATTTTCTCCTAGCATTTGCAATATATTATGCCACTGTCTTTTGCCTTCCACCGTGATTGGCCCAGACCTATGGTTCTCAAAGTTGATTCCCAGACCAGAAGCATCCATTACTGGGGACCTACTTACAAAGAAACTCCTCTGGGAGTGTGTCCCAGCAATCTGTATTACAAGAAGCCCTCCAGGTTATTCTTTTGTCACTGTACTAGACTAATCCAGCTCATCTCCTGAGCTTAGAGAAAGGCCCCTTCCCTGACCAATGTGGCTTCCTACAAAGTCAACAAAATTGGTATCTTGTTGCCAAGAAAGATGGTGGAAATAGTTAGCTGTTGGGTAGGCATCTATAGTGCCATCCACAAGTTTAATGAAGAAAAAGTATCAGTTAAAAAATATGGAAGAGAACTCACATTTATTTTTAAGTGTTAGACATTTTGTATACTATATTTTAGTTATTTTTAACTAAGTAAAGTAGCTGGTATTGCCCCTGTTCTAGAAATACAAAAAAAAAAAAAAAAAATCTTAAGTTTCAGATAACTGACTTAATAACTTAGCCAAGGTTACATACCTTATGGTGTTGTTTTGAACCCATGGAGTATGGATACAAATTCCATGTACTTTATGCTGCACAGTTATGCAGCATTTAACAGTATTACACATGGTTAGTAGATGTTTAAAAAAAATTATTTTAGGGGCGCCCGGGTGGCTCAGTCGTTAAGCAAGTGTCTGCTTTTGGCTCAGGTCATGATCCCAGGGTCCTGGGATTGAGTTCCGCATCAGCCTCCCTGCTCCACAGGAAACCTGCTTCTCCCTCTCCAGCTCCCGCTGATTGTGTTCCCTCTCTCACCCGTCTCTCTCTGTCAAATAAATAAATAAAAATCTTTAAGAAATAAAAAAATTATTTAACATCATACTCAAATACTTAATTATTAATCCTTTCTTTTTATGTAATTTATTCAGAATGTAAGAATATTCCTAAGTGTCTCATATACACAAATTCTAGACCTTTTCTATTTTTACTTATGTTGTAGGCTAACTGTGATCTCAGACGGCAGATAGATGAACAACAAAAATTACTTGAAAAATACAAAGAACGATTAAATAAGTGCATATCAATGAGCAAGAAGCTGCTTATTGAAAAGGTAAGTTAAAAGTTCAGTGAATTTTCCTTTTCATTCCACTGGCCCCTTTTCACCTTGTACAGTTTTAAATTTAAATGAATAAAATTGATGATTTTTCCTTTTTTCAGAGTACACAAGAAAAACTGTCAAGCAGAGAGAAGAGTATGCAAGACCGATTACGCCTTGGGCACTTCACAACAGTTAGACATGGTGCTTCATTTACTGAACAATGGACAGATGGTTTTGCGTTTCAGAATCTTGTGAAGTTAGTCATTATTACATTTTAAAAAATGTAGTGTTCCTTTGAGTTTTTGTTACTTCCAAAGATTATAGATTTGGAATTATGTTCTATTTCTACTCCTTACTGCTCGTTGAAATCACAGAATTTAGTACATTTGAAAGGAACATAAAAGTATTACAATTTCAGCTTTAGCAGTCTTCTTGATTAGTTAGCATTCATCCATACTATATGATATATTATTCTAAGTATGACTTTCCAAAATATAAACTGATCTTCTAGCTATATAGATGATTTGGGAGGAAATTTTAATTTTCACTGGAAGATTTACATATATATGTATCTTGGGATTTTTCTACTTAGTTTTTTCCACATTCTCCAGTCCTTATTTCAGTGTTAATATTCAGCCCTTGCCTGCTTTCTATTCCTGTGGAAAAGACAGGAACTTTTTCTCTTCTGCTTCAGATACAGTAATTCATAAATCAGTTGAGGAATATGTAGCTTTAGCATTTCTGAGGCAAACTTTAAAACAGAAACTGAGTTCAGATGATGGTAGATAGGGATAGATTGACTATGTATTAAGGAGTCAGGACCTGTGCTGCTTTTTTGTTTCCACTGGAAAATTTTTTTAAACCTCAAAAACAGGAGTAGTACCAGCATCTACGTCAGTTTTCCTAGAGTTACATGGAAAATGGAGACAAAACTCTATCTCCATATATAAACATTGCTGTTTCAAACTTAGTTTCCAGGACTTCGCACAGAATGGCCTTCTCTCTCTCACAGTTGATTATTCAGCTTTTGTTCAACACCAGCTGTGCTGGGTGATAGGTGTACCATAATGAAGAACGTAGTTCTTGTGATGCCAGAGAGTTTGGCTTTTAATTCTATGGTGGTACGGAGCTATTAAAGGTTTGTATGTAGTGTATGTGGTCAGAATTGAGTTTTAGAAAGATAACTGGTGGTAATGTGGGCCTAATATTGGAAGGAAGATAAATTATTGACAGCTGAGGTCTCCAGATGTTAAGGTGATTAGGCTTGAGCTAAAATGCTGACAGTGAAAGGTAGAGAATAGGAGATATATTTGGGATAGAAACCATGATTTTTGCATGTTAAATGAGTAAGAGCCTCTGCTACTAAACTCATATCTACAGTTGTCCTGATAATGAATAAAATAGGCTACATAATATAACCTTAAATACAAACTAAAAATAACAAATCTAAAATATAAGCTGTGTTTGTAGTAAAAATTTCTTCATCAAGCTGTCAAGAGCAAAATTGGAGCCTCTGGGTTGGTGAACACATGGAGGTTTGGGGAGAATGGTACAATTAGAGCCTGGAAGCCCTACACCCTTACCCTATACCTTGTTCTATGCATCTCTTCCATCTGGCCGTTCCTAAGTTATATCCTTTTATAATAAGTAATCTAGTTTTTAGAAAGTTACTTGCATTTCTTGTATTGAGGGCCTACTGTGTGTTATTACATATGCAGATTTTAAATAAAGCTGCTTATCAGTGTAAATTAAGTAGTTTATCAGTGACATAACCCAAAGTAGTTGGTGGATGAGAAGAGAAATAAATATTAGTAATATTAAATTAATAATCTCTAAATTGTGTAGTCATTCCTAAATAAACAGATACTAGCTTTATATTCATTCCAGTAACTCTTTACTTTTTAGGATTTTAAACATTAGGATTATTGCCATTTGTTTTCATTTATAACATCTTGATCGTGCTCTAAGCTAGCTTTATAAATTAACTATTTTAATAAAATGAAGTTATTTATTTCTCTTTCCAAAAGAAAACTGGATTAAGCTCCTGTTCTAGCTTTGCTATTCTTGAATTTTCTCCACCCTTTTACTCTTCTGCCTAGGTGGCTATTGATTCTTTCATTCTGGTCATACTCTACTACTGTCTGGCTAGAATCATAGGAACAGGCAATGTATGTAAAGCCAATTTTGGGTCAGCAGAGTAGAAGTTTTGTAGTTCTGCTTTGAGTGGGGTGGGGAGCCAAGGAATTGAAACATTTGTCTTGTTTAAATCTAAGTATCATAACCATGTAGAGTTTTAAAATTTTTTTCTTAGCATGTTGAGGTGACCTAAAAGGGAACATGGTTACTGTGAGAACAAGTTGTGTGATGGAATAGTTTTAAAAAGCTTCACTGTCACCTACTCTTGCTCTGGTCAAATTGCTGAAATCTCTAACCTATATTTTTATAATACACATGATATTTAGTATTTTTTAGAATTAGTAAGCTTCAGATTCTTGAATGGGAAGCAGTAATATTTTTACTTTTATTAATTGCTCATTTTTCATAGCCATGCTAATTTTTCTGGTTTCCCTTATTTTTTTTTCTTGTTTGCTTCAAATTGTCAAAATTCTTTCCTCATAAATTTCTTATATTTAGGTCAGTTTTTGTTTCATTTCAAGGTAGTGCTTGCACATTCCCAAAATCTTTCTGACAAAGACAAATTTAGAAAATAACACTTTATTAAATTGTCTTTTTAAAGTTTTTCTACAAACACAAAGTGATGAGATGCATGTTTAAAATCCACTCCGTGCTTATCTCTATTCTTTAATAGCCTATTTGTTTCATTGAGCAAGTATTTACTGAATTCCCACTATGTGCTGATGATTAAGCTGGGCACTAGGGATACGATAGGATATAAAATAGATGTGGTCTCTGTTCTCATGGACTAATGTACTCTAGAGACATTCTAATCAAGTATCTATAGGAATGTTACTTACTAGGAAGAAGGAGCTGGAGATCTACAAGTACCATGAGATTAAATATAGCAATACATCTTTCCCTAGTTTGGGGGATTTAGGGAATTTAGAAATGAATGCTTCAAATGAGACCTGGACAGTGAATACAAGTAGGTTCAAAAAAATGGAACCATAATATTTGTTCATGTTACATGCTTTTTCATGTTCATTAATATATTCGTGTTTTAACTGTGAAGAGTAATGAAAAGTTAATATGGCTTTTTACATTTATTTTTATACAGGCAGCAAGAATGGGTGAATCAGCAAAGGGAAGACATTGAAAGGCAAAGGAAACTTCTAGCCAAACGCAAACCTCCCACAGCTAATAATTCTCAGGCACCCTCTACCAATTCTGAACCAAAACAAAGGAAGAACAAAGCAGTCAATGGAGCAGAGAATGATCCCTTTGTTAGACCCAATTTACCACAACTGTAAGCCTCCATTTTAATTTGCCTTTTTTTTAAATCGTTGCCAGTGAGCATGAATGTTAGATATTATTTATATTTACACGAATACTTAAATATTAAAAATACTTATGGCCAGGAGGGAAGGCAGTATTAAAATTTACTTCTAAATCTCCGAATACCTGAATTCAGCCTTTGTAAGTGGAGACTTATTAATCCTCTTTTAAAATGAAGATTTAGCAGCTAAGAGGAAACTGGAATCCACTCTTTCTTCATGTCTGAATGATAGAGTCAGTTATTAGTTTTGATTATCTCAATTCTGTGTTTCCATTAATGTTCCTTTTTCTGAGAGAATATTAAAAATATAACTGACATATATTTTCTTAACCTCTGAAAGCAGTACGTTGGAGGTTATAGGTATTGTTTTTTCCCTTTCTGCTTTTATTTATTTTCTAAATTTTCTGCATTAATGATGAACTACTCTTTATAGTTCAATGGGCAAAGAGATTTTTAAATAGTTAAATGCTTATTATACCTAGAAAGTTGGGAAAATATGAAAGAACATAATAAGACAATATAGACCATGATCCCATCCATAGAGAAGACCATTGTTAAAATTTTAATTTACAGATGTGTCCAAACATAATTTTTTTGTTCTGCAAGAACTTAAGTTTTTGTGAGTAGAAAATACATAAAAACACGCACACACACGCACACTGTTTGATATTTTTATGTGGATATATTCTTTTTTTCCTTTGTTGAAAGATAATGTTTCATCTGTGCTTTGATTCCCATACTCTGCTACATGAGGGACTCTTCTATAGATACGTCCTTTATCTTCTGTCGTCAGCTTTTTGTTCTCTACTGGTTCTCCTTTTAGAAGACAAAATGAAACCAAAAACTCTGCTTCAATTATATATCCCTAATTCTGGCCTCCATATCCTGTCATCTTTATAATCAGGTTTTCTTGAAAGACTTGCTTGTACCAGTCTCTTCTGTCTCACCTTCCATTTTCTTCTTTCTTAAATGAAATTGCCTTTTAAAGATTAACTATCTTTTTGATGCTCAGTGCCATAGACATTTGAGTCTTTAACTTGGCAGCATTGAATATTGTTGACTTATTTTTTCCCAAAAGACTATCTTGTCTTTAGTTTTTGAAATACCTTGATCTCCTAATTTTCATTTTAACTCCTCTGGCTCATCTTCTCAGTCTTTTCTATGGACATTATTTACACTACCAATTTGTAAAATGTAAGTAATCTTTAAAAGATCTGTCTTGGTCATCTTACTTCCTACTCTACATATTCTCCTTGAAAATTAGCTACTCTCAGAGTTTCAGTTATCACATATATGCTTCTGACATCCAGGTTTCTGTCTCCAGTCCACTTTCTCTCTTGAGTATTAAATATATCTCAATTTTGAATGTCATCCTTTCTTGGCTGTTATCAGTACTTCTAATGTAGCCTTTTCAAAACTGTATTTACTAGAATTACAGAACAAAACAAAAATTATTTAATATTACCATTCCCATTCCAATCTGTCTCTCTCTACACACACACACACACACACACACACTCATCCACATATACACACCCCTTGTTTTTTCCTGTGTTTTCTGTTAGTAAATGGTACTACCATCCTCTCAGTTCCATATGCCAGATTTTTATCATCCTTAATGTTTTAGATCAAGATTTCATTTATTGGGACGCCTGGGTGGCTCAGTCGGTTAAGCGACTGCCTTCGGCTCAGGTCATGATCCTGGAGTCCCGGGATCGAGTCCCGCATCGGGCTCCCTGCTCGGCGGGGGGGGGGTCTGCTTCTCCCTCTGACCCTCCTCCCTCTCATGTTCTCTGTCTCTCATTCTCTCTCTCAATAGATAAATAAAATCTTTTAAAAAAATAAAATAAAATAAAATAAAATAAAATAAATAAAAAAAAAGATTTCATTTATTTTCCTTAATCCATTTTTATTATTTTCCATTAATAAATAGGTGGTTGTTTGCTTATTTTTCAAAATCTACCTCAAAATCTACTTCCATCTTCAAACCTTTTCTAATCTTGGTGGGCTTTTTAAATTGGAATTAATTCATTTATTGAAATTTTAAGAAAAACTAGCAAATGGTTTACTTTTTGTAAATTAATAAATTTGTTGCTTAATAAAGGGTAGATGGGTAGATGAGTGGTTATATAGAATACAGTGTGTATTAGCTTTAACTCCACTCCTACAAGACACCAATCCTTCTAGTTCTCAAGTGTATCCACTTAAGACCCCACTAACACCATTCTTTCTTTTTTTTTTTTTAAATTTTTTATTTATTTATTTGAGAGAGAGAATGAGACAGAGAGAGCATGAGAGGGGGGAGGGTCAGAGGGAGAAGCAGACTCCCCGCTGAGCAGGGAGCCCGATGTGGGACTCGATCCAGGGACTTCAGGATCATGACCTGAGCCGAAGGCAGTCGCTTAACCAACTGAGCCACCCAGGCGCCCCCATTGACACCATTCTAACTCAAGTTACTGTCCTCTCTTAATTGGGTTATTTTTTTTTCCTACCTCTCCTTTCAGCTTTGGTTTAGCAATCTAGTTCATTTTCATTTTGCAATCAGAATCATTTTTGCAAAATATGATCCTTTTGTTCTTTCCTTATCACCCTAACATAGCTGTTTTTTGAATCACAGAATCCAAAAATCCTAAGATGACTTCATTTAAAGCACTTTTGATCTGGCATCTTCTGACCACTCTAGCCTCTTCTTTTGTCACTAACCAGTGCCTTCCCTTCAGTGCCAACTTTCAAACTCCAACCCATGGTTTTTAATTCCTATCCATCTTTTAAATCCCATACTAGGTATTTCCTCCTAAAAGTTTTTCCTTGATCCCTGAAGGATAGGAGTTAATTATCACTTTAAGGTAATGTGATAGTGTCCTCTGTCTCTTCAGTCATAGCATCACCATTTACTCTGTTAATGACACTATAAACATCCTAGATGTTTCCCTTTCCCTCGTTCTCTGTGTCTGTTTCTGTAGCATCTTGTATTTGTCCATCTTCCTTGTTACTATCTTAGTATAGGACCTCATCTCTTTTTAACCTAGATTCCTGTTTCTTATGTGTCTCTTCATGTCAGTTTCACATTTAACCTCCTTCACTGACCTTCAAGATAAAATTCACCCTCATGAAGGACTCTTTGTAGGCCTTATTTTTCTCTTTCATTTCACTCCCAACATCTGTCCTATGTATCTTATGTTAAACGCTTTCGTTTTCTAAGTGGATTAGGCGTTCTTGTTTCTGTGCCTTTATACATCTTGTTCCTTGCCTTTCTTCACCTTCTCATTGCCTGTTCATCTTTTAAGGCTTGGTTCAAATACCAATTTCAGTAGGAAGCCCTCTCTAACTTTTTTTCTTCCCATTTTCTCCCCCATTTCCCCTCAGGTTAGGTGCCTATAGCCTTTTGTACGTGCCTGTTCTGTATGTAGCTTTTATCTCTATATTCTCAATATGTAGCACAGTTTTCTGACATACGGAAAGTGGTTAGTAAATGCTAAATTCTGGTACATAAGCATTTGATTGAATTTTATTTTCTCCTCATTAGTTTCTCCTTCATTTTTCTAGTTTGTCACAGGTATTTTGCTTACTTGTATTCCAGGATGCTTAACAGCCCTAACTATACTTTAATAGTCATAGACTTGTCTTATTTCACCCCACTTTATTATATATGTTGACTGAGAACTAACCCTAAACTTAAACTGCTATACGTTCTTGGAGTGGCAAATGAAGTGATACTGCATAAAAAAAGTTTTGACTATATCTTTATACAAATGCAGATTTAAATAGGGAAAAAAGCCATAGAAGCACTTTTTAAAAAAAATTGATTTATTAGAGGAGGGAGCGTGCATGAGAGCAGGGAAAGGGAGGGGCAGAGGGAGAGGAGAGAGAAAATCCGCTGCGGGAGTCTTGATCGATGGGGGGATCGATCCCAGGACCCTGAGAACATGACCTGAGCTGAAATCAAGAGTTGGATGTTCAACCAACTGAGCCACCCAGGCACTCCAGAAGCACTTTGATTTATATATTATTATATTTTAGTGGCTGTTCTCTGCAACTGTCTTCTAAAAATTCCTTCTGAATCACTGTTTGGTGGTAACTAGAGCATCTAGTATATGTGCAGAACATCTAGTATAATTAGAAACCGTAAATCTTTAATTTTTTTTCTATCAAGAAATTAACATAGAAAATGAAGTTACTACTATGGAGTGGTTAGGACTTTAAGAGTTGTAGACAGACAGATGTGGAATCCATCCTTGACTCTTTCAGGTTGTTGTTTTTGGTAATCTGTTTTACTTTTTTGAGCCTCCATTTCCTCATTTGTCAAAGTACATATATCATAGTGTTGAAAAGATGATACGAGGTAATGCATGTTAAAGTACTTGCATGGTTCCTGGCTCTTAACTAATTTTTAACTACTAGCAAGATTCGGTCAGGTTTTTTAGGTAGTAGTTTCTAATTTTAGTCACATATACTTCTTTTATTCAGAGTAATTTGCATAGATAATATTACCTATGGATGTCTAAATGACCCTGTGTTAATTGTAATTAATTTTAATCAAGATTTTGACCTCATGTTAAATATATTTTAAATCATGTTTTGATTTTATTTATGTATTTCATGTCTCACAGAGGATGCTTGCAAAGTAAACAGTAATATTTTACCTTCTATTTTGTATTAAGGAAGTTTTAGAGGTCACTGTGTTTTCTCATTAAAGCTTTAATTTTAACTCAGGAGTATATTTTACATACCATAAAGTTATTTAGTGGATTACTTCTCTTGTAAATAATATAATAGACTTTTTAATTAAGAAAATTTATTTTTAGAGCCGTTTTAGTGTATAGCAAAATTGAGCAGAAAGTACAGAGAGTTCACATACACTCCCTGTCCCCACACACAACTTCCACCACTATGAATATCCTGCACCAGAGGGGTATATTTGTTACAATTGATGAATGTGCATTGGCACATCATTATCACCCAGAGTTTAT